CGCCCCGCCCCCGGCCAGCCCGGAGCCCCGCGGGCCTCCGCTCAGTCCGGGACTCGCCTAGTCCCGCCTCCGCAAAGCTCGCGGCCGGCCCTCTGCTCGTTCCGGGCCAGTCCGGCCCTCGCGCCCGGCCTCAGCCCCGCCCCAGCCCGACTCTACCCTCAGCACCTTGGGCCCGCCCCATCCCCGCTCTAACCTCAGCACTTCGCGGGACAGACTCCGCCCTCAGCCACACCCCCGATCAGACTCTGCCCTCGGACCCGCCCCCAGCACCGCCCCGGCCAAACTCCGCCCCCAGCACCGCTCTCTGCCCCGCCCCCAGACCGACTTGCTGCCCTCGGCCCGGGGACTCTCCGCTTCTCAGCCCCGCCCCTAGGTCCGCCCACAACCCAACTCCGCCCACGGCACCGCCCCCAGCCCTCGCCACGCCCCCCACCGCCACGGGCCAGGCTGCCTCAAGGGTGGAATGAGGAGCTGACTCAAGGGTACAGTGGAGTCTCTGGGTGGGCCTGCAGGCCTGGGGCCATTAACCCAGCCCTTGCACCCAGAATGGCCTCCTCTAGAATGGATCACTGGGAAGGGGACAACCACGGCAGAATCCCTCCAACAGGGGTTGGGAGAGGTGGTACCATCTTCCCACACAGAAGGGAAAGGCATAGCGGCCCACTACAAGGAACTAGAAGGCTTCAGTGAGGCCGCAAATTAAGCCGGCTACAAAACTGGGGTGAAGACCAGAATCCCGATGGGGAAAGGGACCTGAAGGCTGTGTCCTCAACGTGACCCCCCCTTTCAGGACTCTCAGGAGAAGGGATCTAGAGAGCCCATTTGGTGGATGGCAAGGCCAGAAGGAGGAGTTGGGAAATCACAACCCCCAAAGGCAGCCTAGCAGTGGTTGAAGCAGCTGTCCAAATGGCTCAGGGTGGACTGGCTCGGTTGGGGTTATGGGTCCATTTGGGGGAACTGACCCAGCCAAACAGCACCAATGACTGGCCTGAGCAAAGGAACATGGAAGGTTTGTGGGGAATTCTGTGGAGGGTCAGACCAGCTTCTGCCAAGATAATCCATAAACCAAGGGTCCTTCGAGAAATAGAACCCACATAAGCTTGAAATAGATAAAATGGAACCTCTCCCCACAAAGGGCTTCCCAACTACCCAGCTGGGAGGGAATTGAGAACACTCCTGCCCTCTTCAGACTCCAGTTCTACTTGGTTCAATAAATTTTATTTTATTTTATTTTATTTATTTTTTTTGTTTATTCATGAGAGACAGAGAGAGAGAGAGAGGCAGAGGGAGAAGCAGGCTCCCCAGGAGCAGAGAGCCCGACGCGGGACTCGATCCCAGACCCCGGGACCACGACCCGAGCCGAAGGCAGACGCCCAACCATCTGAGCCACCCAGGCGCCCGGTTCAATAAATTTTATTAATGCCTACTATGGTTCAGGTACTGTTCTAGGCCCTTGGAACACATCAGTGAACAAAGAAGACAAAAATCCATACCCTCCCCAGCAGAAAAGGGAAGAGGGCTTTCCCATAGCTTAAGGAGACCATAGAGGGCAAGTCCACCAGGATCCCTGACGAACCTTACCAGCCAAGTGGGGAAGAGACTGACTGGATGAGGAGGCAAAGACAGACCCATAGAGAAGATGGAGGAGCAATCTGTTCTGGAACAGTGTGAACTCTTCTCCCATGGGAAGTACCCAACAGTGTTAGACAGGAACCCCCAAAGTGACAAGGAAAAGCAATTCTGGGAGCCCAGCTTTATTACATCAGATTGGAAGGGCAGGAAATAGTCTCCCATTCTGAGCTAGAAGGAGACAGAAGGACATGGGATGGAAGGCTTCCACAGGCTGGGCTTGGCTCTGGGGCATGTCAAAGCTCAGAACCCCAGAAAATAACATCTGTTCCAGCCCAGAGTGGCTCCTCACAGCCACTGGTGGAGAGAAGAAAGGAAAAGGTGAGCCCAGGGGCCAGGATGAGCCAAGACTCAGCTATTGGAAGCAAGGGGAGAGGAAGGAAGAGTGTAGACATTTGCAGGGTGGGGTGGACATGTGGCTGAATAACTGAATGGGCTTTTACATTCATCTTGACTGGCATTGGTTTAGGGTGGGATGGGGGCATGTTGGTCTGGCTATGGATTTTGCCAGAAAGCCCAGCTACCACTTGTCTTTGTAGGGTGATGGACATGTTCTGAAACTAGACTGTTGGAGCACTTGGGTGGCTCAGTCGGTTAAGCATCTGCCTTCGGCTCAGGTCATTATCTCAGGGTCCTGGGATCGAGCCCCTCGTCGGGCTTCCTGCTCAGCAGGGAGCCTGCTTCTCCCTCTGCCCCTCACCACCCCACACCCCCACCCCCCACTCTCTCCCTCAAACAAATAAATAAAATCTATTTTAAAAAATAAAATAAAACTAGACTGTCATGAGGGCTGCATGACTCAGGAAATTTATTAAAATTCCTAAATTGTACACTTACAATGGGTGGAGTTGATGGTGTGTAAATTATACTTCAATAAAGCTGTTAAAAAAATATCTGCATTTCCTCTCTTTTGGTGGTAAGTTTCTGACTAGCACAGTGGCATTTTATCTGAAATTGAATTATGCCCATTTGAAACAGAGCGATTCAAATTCAAAACTGTTTATGATATCTCACTTAAGGCCCCAAGTTTGAAATAATGCATATCCCAAATTTTTAAAAATGTGTCAAGAATTTAACATTCTTGGGGCGCCTGGGTGGCTCAGTCAGTTAACCAGCTGCCTTTGGCTCAGGTGGTGATCCTGGGGTCCTGGGATCAAGCCCCAGGTCAGGCTCCCTGCTCAGTGAGGAGCCTGCTTCTCCCTCTGCCTCTGACCCTCCCCCCCACCATGCTCTTTCCCTCTCTCTCTCTCTCGCTCAGTCTCTCTCTCTCAAATAAATAAATAAAATCTTTAAAAAAAAATTAACATTCTTAAAGCTAGCAGTGGGTGGGCTGAGTTTAAACTGTGTTTGTGCTGTTGCCACATGGGGGCACACCATCCCAGTTGATAAACTGAAGCATCTGCTGTAACCCCAACAGTCTGTGGATCAGAACTCGTGGTTAGAGGGACAAACGCCACCTTTCTTCCCCTTCCTTGGTTCCTCCCTCCGTTCCTTTCTTCCTTTCTTTTTTCATCTTTATTCTTTCTACTGTCACCATGATTAAAATATACAGCCTCTAACAGTATCATCTGAGTTTTATTTGGCAGCGCCCAGACTTGGTGCTAAAAATGTGCCCCCATCAGACCCATCAGACACGAAGGTGAGAAAACACTGTAAAGAACTGAAGACCAGCATCAACCATGATACCCTGCATTCTTAATATAGAAGAGTGCTTGCTACGCGATATTAGAATATAATGGTGCGATTGCAGACTTAGGTGCCCTGGGTGGGTGCTGGCTGAGAACTGGGAAGGCTCCCTCCCAGAGGCCAGCCCTCAGCCCACCTGAAGGCCAAAGAAATGCCAGCCATCCGACTCTCTCCTCACTCCCAGAACCCCAAAACATCATAAACATGGGTCAAATGAACCCTAGCCCTCCCTGCTTCTATTGATGGTACCCATTTCATGCTTGAGGTTCTACCTGAAAATGAGGGATCAAATGGCTCTCAGCACCCCTACTCCAACCTCTACCAACTCCATGCCACCTTCCACCTGGCACAGTGCCTCCACCCGGGACTGCCCTGGCTTCCTCCCATCAGCTTCCAGTCCCCACTGTCCCCCACCCCCACCAAATGGGCTTGCTGGAAGGGCTCTGATGAGACCACTCCCTGGCTCAAACTTCAGTGATAAGCCCCAGACCCTCTGGAACACCCTGTTCCACCTTACTCCTCCAACATGATCTGTTCAACCCCCCCTCCTTTTCCCCAGACCCTCCAACTTGCCAGTTTTCACAGAATCCTCCATGGCGTAGCCAGAGGGACCGATGGGGATCAGCCCTGCTCTCCCTGCCTGCCACTAGTCTCCCTGGGGACCCGTCTGCTCATTAGTCAAGTACTGCCTGCCCCGTTAGGGAAGGCCTGATGTACCCAGATGGGTTCCTGCAGTCACCGCTTCACAGTTCCTGTGAGCAGGGGCTGAGACACCCCCACGCCATCCTGTCTTGGGGCTTTGGGAGGAGGCAGTGGGATGCTGATGTCTCTTCTCCAGTTCAGTTGTTAGCGGATGGGGTGGGGTGGAAGTGGGGCAGTCTGCGGCAACATAACCAGCATTTTGCTTCCCCGTGACAGGCTTGTCCCTCTCATCACTGCGCAAGGTATCCAGGGTCAGAGGAGAACGATGTTAATCTCTTCCTTGTTTATACATTGCTCAAGAGCAGGAACACAAGTGTCAGGGGGGCAGAGTGCAGGCAGGGGGAGGAAGGCCGGCCTGAGGCCTGGGTGGAGCTGGTCTGATGAATCTTAAAGCAAAACAAGAAGACTGATGTTTTACTCACAGGAAAACCAGTGAGGTGAGCAAAGGAGAGGGGAGTCTATGGAAATGTATCTATGGAAAGCCGCCTTTTTGGAAACTTTGGGCAGAGCCAAAGCTAATATAAACCATGAAACAGATTTTGTCAACAAACTCAAGCCTCCCAAGACTGGTTCCTTTGCCTCTGAGCAATGAACTGGCCCAAGGGAACCACATCCCCACTACTGGTGACACCTGCCAAGCCGATTCCTCTTCTGTTCCAGGCCTGGAGTGGGAGCCCTGCAGAGACGTTCCCTCTGGGGCCCCTGGCAGGCAGGCAAGCAGTCAGGGCCTCCAGGACAGGAAGAAACCTGGGGTTGGGTCCATCTCTGCCAAGGACACCTGTAGGAGATGGTGCTGGGTGCTTTTCCACCAGCCTCGGTTTCCTCAGATGGGGGACGCTAATT